TGCATAAAGACGACCATAGATGAATTGATGCATTTGAGTAATGGTGTTGGAGGAGAATATTACAAGTATCACGGACTGGCAAAAAAACAAATAGATCTGTGTTGGAAGAAGTACAGCCAGAGAACTCCTTGGAAGCCAGGGTGGCCAGACTTCATATCTTATACTTTGGACATATTATCAGGATGGACCAATCACAGGAGAAAGACATCATTTTCCGTAAAGTGGTGGGCAGGAGAAAAAGATGGAGACCACAAACGAGATGGATTGGCACAGTGGCAACAGTAATGGGCTCAAGTGTAGTAACGATTGTGAGGTTGGCCCAGTGTTTTGTTGTTGTGTACAGGGGTCACTATGAGTCAGTATTGACTCTCTGGCACGAAACAACAGCAAAATGTCTATGATACAGTGTGGGCAAGTGAGGCAGGGAGATCTGCTGAGAAAAATGTTACAACTGCCTTACAAATTAATTTTAAATTATACTGCAGTACATTTTAAGAGCTAAGTGAAAGATATAAAAAGAAGTTCAGAGAGAGTTCAGTGAGTAGAGACTTTATTGGAAGTTCTGGTGATGATGGCGTATCTTAAATGCTAATAATCCATTTCAATATCTAATTAAGCTACCCTGAGGCCATCCTCAAGACTAAAGGCATATTATATTAGTTACCACTATTTTAAAAATAAACACAAATGCAGGTATCCTCTACTTTTCAAATGCTTGCTTTACACCACTTCACTTTTATGAAAGATCTATAGTACCTGGTTTTGCTAACTAAAAGAAATCGAAAGAGGATTTTCACCTTTAAGGGTGTAGGGGTGGAGGTGTGAAAAGTGAAACTGTTTCGCAGTGAGCACCCTGAGCAGCGAGAGTGGTGTCACCGAGCTCCTTCCCCTGGGAACTACACCAGACCTCAGCATCAAGCATCTCAGTATCACTAAGTTTTCAACTGTGTCTGTGAGCAGCTGGGCTGTTTTTTATTTACTTTGTACACCTTCCAGTGTGTTCTGTTTCCCCGATTCTGTTAAGTGAAACTATACTGTTTAAATACTGTTGCTGTTAAGTGCCACTGAGTCAGTTCTGACTCACAGTGGCCCTGTTTAGGGTTTCCAAGGCGTAAATCTTTGCAGGGAACAGAAAGCCTCATCTTTCTCCTATGGGGCAGCTGGTAAGCTTGAACCCCCAACCTTGTGGTTTGCATTCTAGCGTTTATCCTAGCAAGCCACCGCACTACTGTATAATTGCTTTTGTTGTTAAGTGCTGTCAAGTTGGTTCTGACTTACAGCAACCCTGTGTAGGGTTTCTGAGGGGCAACTGGCGGATCTGAACCACTGACCCTTGTAGTTAGTAGTGCAGTATTTGTCCTACAGTGCTTACTATAGGATATGCATTGAACATATCATTCTGGCTTTTACTACAGGTTAGTGTTATTTTAGGTTTTATGTGTCATTTGGTATAATTTGGTAAGTTATTTTTGGATCTGGGGAACAATGAAAAACTTTCCCCAAATAAAGTAATGGTAATTGCCTCTTTGCTTTATGCCATTATGGTTTATAATAGGTTTTACAGGATTGGTCTACTCTCTCAAACAGCAGGGGAAACCTTTATATACCATGATTATAAACAAAATTCACACAATTCTTTTGAAATTTAAAAATGTCATTATATTTCAAAATCCTTAGAATGCATGTATAGTTTGATTCAACAATTGCACTTCGAAGGATTTACCCTAGGAACATAGAGGGTTTTAAGAGATGATGATGCCTTGTAACAACTACTTTCTAGAAAAGCAGGCATATGCAAACACACACCTCAATTTAGATGATTCAACACTCTTCCCCTAAAATAAATTTTCTAAAAGTTGTCTAGTATACCAAATTTGTTTAATTACAATTGGGCCACCATTCACTGTTTAAAGAAGTTCACTTACCAACAGGACTGGAGAAAATAAAGCACAAAGGGTATGAAACTCTTCCATCATCGTGTTGGTATTTATAACTATACACAATGAAGGTTTTTCTCAAGTTAAAGAAACTGAAAGTATTGCTTTTTTTTTGAGCCAGACACCTATAGCTGTCAATTCAGTTCTAACTCAAGGCAACCCCAGATGCGACAAAACAACTGCTCCCCAGGGGTTTCTTGGCTATAATCTCTTATGGAAGCAGATTGCTAGGTCTTTCTTCCGTGGTGCTTTGAGCCAGGTGGTAGTGGTGTTAAGTGACACTGAAGAAGAGAGGAGAGGCTTTCTGCTCTTGTAATGATTTACAGCCTCAGAAACCCTATACAGAGTGTCATTGTGAGTTTGAATTGACTCCATGGCACACAATTCACATTGACCCTTTACAGTTTCAAAGGAGTGGCTGTGGGTTTGAAACAACCTGTGGTTAGTACTCAATGCTATCCTATAGCGCCACACCAGGACTCCTTTGAGCCAGGTACCTACCAACAAAGTTCTGAAAGAAAATACATACTTGGGGAGTTACTGAGTAGCAAACTTCTATCCCATCCATTTACGTCACGCCTATCAATTCATTATCTATCCACAAAATTATAAATGGGCCCCAGAGATAAACGATCATAAAATCATTATCACATCTAAAATACTACATGTAGAATATGAATTTGCCAACATGGGTCTTTTTCTCAATTGTTATTGTACACATACATTAACAAAGGGAACTCTTTAATTCATTGCATTAATACATCGATAGTTCAATGTGAACATGTATTTTTTTAGTTTGGTGGTGATCATGATATAGGAGGAAATTTTATAAAACATGTCTTTTAAAAGCTGAAGAAATGAGCTTACAAATAAAATCTTCACCACTAAAGAAAACACCTTTTTAAAGCACAAAGAAAAGGATATCGAGGTTGTCGTTCAGGTAGTTCATCTTTAAGTTCGTCAGGTGAAATGCCCTGGCATAATGAAAAAAAAAAAAAAAAAAGGAGAAGCAACTGTTAAATATCTTCTCACCCAGAAATCCTTAAAGAAATATACTATATACTGAAACATCAATTCTACTAAGAGTTAGAAAAAGTCAGGAACCACTCAGCAAGATAAGCTAACTCCTCAGAGGAAACAATGTCTGATTTAATTTGTAAAAATTCAGTTCCTTTTACTTTAAACTAATTAATCTGCTATATTAAGTACTTAAGCTAATTTAGCACCCAGGTTTGAAGCAAGTTACAAAGTTGAGTCACTTTCTACTGAGCACACAGCCCTACTTTCTACCACTTACTATACTGGATTTTGCTAATGCTTTAAGGAAACTGGTTAAATTAGTAAGACAGTGAACTACACAGTAGTTACCACATGCTTTTTATGTACACTGAGCATATATTTAAAATAGATTCAGAACTCATTTTAGAAAAAGTACAACTAATATACACTTTTTGAACAATAATTACTTTAACTGATTGAACAAACCTCAAGCTCCTCGTCCAGTACCACCAAGCGTTTATCCTTGTCAATCTTCACTAAAATAAAAACATAATATAAGTAAACTATAATTCTAATGTGAACTTGATCTACTCATCCCTCACAGTCTCAGTCTTGGACAGTTTTGTTTTTATATCTAAAGTGTAAACATCAAAAAACAGAAGCATAAAACTGATTAGCAGTTTTCCTTTATGGTTTATTAGCTAGCTTTTGCTTTTCAGTCAGTTTTTAACAGCTTTACCCACAATTCACAGCACCTAATTTGCTTATGTGGAAACTGAGGCTGGTGCAAATGGTGAATACAATCACCTGATAATGAAAAGATTGGAAATTCTAGTCTCACCAGGAGCGCCTCAGAAGACAGGCCTACAGTGATCTACTTACTATAATAAAATAGTCTACTTACACCCAATGAAAACCCAATGGCACAGTTCTACTGACACCCAAGGGTTACCATGAATTGAAATCAACTCAATAGCAACTGGTTGACTGGGATTTTATGACAATTTCTTATATCACTGGGTATATGAAGAACTTTGTAACTCAAATCAACTTCCCAGATAATAAGAAAAAGTCTAAAAGGGTAATAACGGTGACTGAAATTGGTTTATGTACAACATGGTTTGAGCTGTAAGAGAAAAGTGGCCCAGGAATCAGGGTAGAGAATCGCCTGACTCCCAGCAGTTCCAGAATCAGGATTTCGTGATGCATGATCATTATTCTGAAAAAGTAAATGACCAAAATTGCAGAGATAACTGTACTCAAATATATACATAACAAAACAATACAAAGGCAATCAAAATATTTTTAAAAACCAAAAACTATGTTGCTGTTAAGTGCTGTCGCTGAGTCCGTTCCGACCCACAGTGACTCTGGCATAGGTTTTTGAGGAGTAGCTGGTGGGTTTGAACGGCCGACTGTGCTGTTCAGTGCATTATCCTGCTGTGCCATACCAGTACCTCTCCTTTTCTCCATTAGTCTGAAAAACTGAACATTTGTGGTTTTGTACTAATTGCACCATAAATTCTGATCTCCAAGAGCTTTATTTTTTTGTAATATGACACAGACACTGATTTTCCCTTTCAAGAACTATATATTTATGCTGTATTATTTATTTGTTTTATCTGTAAGGAGCTCTGGTAGCATAGTAGTTACGTACTGGGCTGTGAACCACATGGTTAGCAGTTTGAAACTATCAGCTGTTCTGTGGGAGAAAGATGAGGCTGTCTGCTCCTGTAAAGATTTACAGCCTCGGAAACCCTGTACAGGGTCGCTATGAGTAGGAACCGACTCCACAGCACATAACAACAATGACAATTATTTATCTGTAATGGGACCAGAAGTCATGAAAAGTTGCAACTACCCTTGATTAGTTCACATTTTCCAGGTGCATCTCTGTTAAACCATCTGTAGATTTTCATATTTTCACCACTTCATCTATACACTCTAAATGTTATCTAAGAACAAAAGGAAAATCTGCATACCACCAGGCACTGCTCACAGTGAAAGAGGCATTATGCAAATCATCCTTTCCATTTTTAGAAGTCAGTAACACTTAAAAGAACTCTCTATGAAACTGGGGTGTACGTCTTGAATTGGTGTAATACTAATGTGACTTTGAACACAATGCTGAGCCTTACCATTTTAGGTATAGAAAAAGAGAGTCTGAGTATGGCTGACCAGGCTTATTTTTAGTTCCCAGAGATTTAAGGATGGAGTTGGATGGATCTCTGAAAATGGGAATCCTCATTCCCCAAGTGACCAAGAAGAACACCTTTCTAGAGACATGTAGGCAGTTGAGAGGAGGACTATGGGAGAGGTGGGACACTCCACCCCTGTTCTTTCACATTAGCAGTTACTCTTAAAAAGTAATGTAAATGGGGAAAATGAACCAGGATGAGACAACATTACTTTCTAAAGGTTCATTTATTCAATGTAGCTACAACTACTGCGAGATAAACCACAAAACTAAGACCATATAACTTTCAGGGGATTACTTTTAGCTTACTTATAATGGCAGCATTGTTTGTTTCTTTGCGAAAACGAAACTTTCTCAGCTTTTCCACTAAATCTTCAGCAACATCACAAACCACCAAAGATTCACTCTAGGAAAGGAAACAAACAAACAAAAAATCACATGTAAAATGTGACTTTAATATATGTGCATGCTAAAGTTAGGCAATTTAAATACATTTAAAATGTGATACTGCCATCAGTGAGTATTAATTATATGAAAGCATTAAAGTGAAACAAATGGACACTTATAAGATCTTTAAGTCTACCAATCTTTGGATCTACATTATTTAATCATACATGTTTGTTCATCTGGAGTCTTAGTGTGTGATAAGTACAGGTTAAGTGTAAGATAAGAATTAGACTGCTAACCGCAGGTCAGAGATTCAAACCCACCAGCTGCTCCTTGGAAACCCTATACAGGGTTTTGATGGCACTTAACATTTATTTATCTTACATATAGGGTATACTTTAAATTTCTCAGCGGGTAAGAAATAGTGACTCAAGGAACCAGACATCATAATGTGCAATTTCATCAGAACCCAAGAAGGGAATAATCCAGGATCACTGTCTACTCTTTGGAACATCAGGCAGTTGTGTGTTTGTACTGTGCCTGAAGATAGAATCATCTTATTGTACTTAGAATTAATATAACATTGTTTGGAATCTGTCAACTATGAAAAAAATACAAACAAAAGTAAATTGCAAGATTATTGTTGTTGTTAAGTGCTAGTGAGTCGGTTCTAATTCATAGTGATCCTGTATAGGGTTTCTGAGGTTTATAAATCTTTGCGGGAACAGAAAGCCTCATCTTTCTCTTGAAGTTTTAAGATTAGAGACCAAAATATGCTTGTAACTAAATTAAATGACGACGGAGATAAAGGGAGCTATCAAAAATGTATGAAGGAAGAGTTCTGGAGGCTCAGTGGCTAAGCACTGGGCTGCAAACCAAAAAGTTGGCAGTTTTCACCCACCAGTTGCTCCATGGGAAAAGTACTAATTGGGCAGTTTGCTTCTGTGAAAATACAGCCTTGGAAACCATCTGAGAGGCAGTTTAACCCTGTCTTTATGTTACTGTTATTAAGTGCCATGGAGTCACTTCTGACTCCTGCCTACCTTTTGGTTAACAGTCTAGTGCTTATTCTACAGCACCATACCACGAGTCCTATGTTGTTGTTAAGTGCAGTTGAGTTGGTTCTGACTCTTAGCGATCCCGTATAGGGTTTCCAAGGAGAGGCTGTTGAGTTTGAACTGCCAACCTTGTGGTTCACACCAACCTTGCAGTTAAGTGCTTTTCCTACAGTGCCACACCAGACTTCTATAGGGTTGTTGTAAGTCAGAACTGACTTGACCACAATGAGGCATTATTGTAGAATGAGAACTCCTGTATCATTGATTCAATCAAAAACAGAAAAAAAAACTCAGATGAAACAAAGCCAAAAGAATCTTTTAGAAATTATGAAAAAAGATTAATACTCTCTTCCAGATATTTGCCATGGAAACAGTCTAAAGCACTCTTGTTTAAGTGTTATAATCACCACTGCTGATTACAGGAAAGAGCCCTGGAAGCTTAACGGATTATGAGCTAGGTTGTTAACTGCAAGGTCAGTAGTGCAAATCTACCTGTTACTCCGAGTGAGAAAGATGAGGCGTTTTGCTCTCGTAAACATTTATAGCCTAGGAAACCTTATTCAGGGTCACTATGAGTCAAGACTGACTCGGTGGTACACCACCACCACCACCACCACTCATTATACAAGTCCTGGCATGGTGCTGTAGGATAAGCACTGGGCTTGAAACACAAGGTCAGTGGTTCAAACCCACCAGCTGCTCCTTGGAAACACTATACAGATTCACTGAGTTTGAATCAACTGGACAGCACTCAACTGTTTATAAGCAAGAAAATGGAAATCTTTTTTTTCCTATATGCAAAACTTGGAACACATAACTAAAGTAAAAAGACTAGGTCATAGTGAAACCCTTTCTTCATTGTTTGCTGACTTTGCAGGTCAACCGGAGTTTGTAGTCCAGGGCTTATCCTGTTGTTGTTGCTGTTATGCATAACAACAACAACATACCTTATAAGGATATGCTCTTACACAGTCTCCCTGGGAGTGGCAGGTGAGCCAGAAGCACTGACCTTGTGGTTCACATGCCATCGGCTATCCTACACTGTGCTCCTACACCGAATTGGTTCCAACTCATAGCAACCCTGCTATAAATCTTTGTTGTTGCTGTTGTTAAGTGCCATTGAGTCAGTTCCGACCCATAGTGACCCTGCATAGGGTTTCCAAGAAGCAGCTGGTGAGTTTCAACCACTGACCTTGTGGTTCAAACGACTTTGCAGTCCAGCGCATTAGCCCACAGAGCCACTTACAGGAGCAGAAAGCCTTATCTCTGGATCTCCCTCAGAAGAGCAACTGATAGATTTGAACTGCTGACCTTGTGTTTAGTAGCCCGGCTCATAATCTACTAGGTTAATAATATGTTGTTGTTGTTGTTGTGTGCTGTGAAGTCGGTTCCAACCCATAGTGACCCTGCACAGGGTTTCTGAGGCTGTAAATCTTTACTGGAGCAGAAAGCCTCATCTTTCTCCCGCGGAACAGCTGCTAGTTTCGAACTGCTGACCATGAGATTCATAACCAGCCCGATTCATAACCACTACGCTATACTAATCCATTATACCAATATGTACTTCTATTCTTTTAATTTTCTTTAACGAGGAGATTCTAAATCATATGCAAATTCTTAAAGCTGGATTCAACTCTATTTCACATTTTTTCTATCTGTCAAGAAAGAGAAGCCAGAAAACTAGAATTCTATTCTTCTTCAAACGAAAGGTTTCCATGGTCAAAACTAATAAATATTTTAGATATGTTTATCCAAGTTGTTATAAAAGTCCTTCCTATCTTCCACCTGATACCCAGAGCTACTTGTGCAGTCTTGATATTCTTAGGACCAACAACCAAGTGAAAAATATGCTTTGTGTTTTAATTTGTAGTTTCTTATTTTATATTTTTATCTCTTTCAATATCATTAATAAAGTATAAAACTTCTTCTTACAATTTTAAATGCTTACAGTTTAGTAGAATCACTTACGAATAAGTACAATGCTGCTGAGTGAAATTGGTGGTGGTGGCTGTGTGCTGTGGCGTCGGTTCCGACTCATAGCGACCCTGTACAGGGTTTCTGAGGCTGTAAATCTTTACAGGAGCAGAAAGTCTCATCTTTCTTCTGCTAAACAGCTGGTAGTTTTGAACTACTGACCTTGAGGTTAGCAGCCGGACTCATAATCACACTTAACAACAACAACAACCACAGCTCCTTAAATCACTGACTAGATGTGGACATGTGTTAACTTATGTAAAGGTGAAGGCAATATACATTCAAAGGCAGATGGGCAGAAGAACAGATGAAGAAACAGGGAGGAGTGCAAGAACTAAAGGGAAGAGAAGGTGCCTTCCAGTCAGTTCTGACTCATAGCAATCCTGTATAGGGTTTCCGAGGCTATACAACTTTACAGGAGCAGAAAGCCTCATCTTTCTCCCAAGGAGTGGATAATGGGTTTGAACTGCTGACTTTAAGTTAGCAGTCCAGTGCTTGTCCTACAAGCACTCCACCAGCACTTCTGGACATATACATAGGTCTGCAATAACAGTGATCTACAGGCAAATATAGGGACAGATATACATGCTGATCGGGTGTGGAAGGGAGAGGAGTGTGCCCACAAATATATGAAAGTTTGACAGAGGATTTGTGTATATGGGTATTTACTTTTGCTGCAAATACATCCATGAACATGATGGAGCATACAGGTGGCAAACAATGATATCCTCTTAGACACTGCCAAACACCTTGAGGGAATGAGTTAATTATGTACCTGCGGGTTCAGGACCATAGTCTTGGGGGACACCATGGTCAAACGACATAACATAGTCCACAAACACAATGTTGTACGTCCTACTTTGGTGAGTAGCAAGTGGGATTTTAAATGCTCATAGACAGCCATCTAAGATCCAACTATTGGTCTCTCATTGTCAAGAAGAAAGAAAAGTGAAAACTGAAGATGCTTGAAAACAATTAGTTCAATGGACTAAAGGGATCATGTGACTATCTGTCTCTGTGGCCTTGAGACCAGCAGAACTAGACAGTGCCCAATACACAGTGACAGGCTACCACTAAACATTGTTCTGAAAACGATGCTGTAGTATGTGAGAAAATGTGGGACAAAACTCAAAATAGCAAAAAAGACCAACCAGCCATGCTGGTCAGATACAGAGTCATGGAACCCCTAGACTATGGTCCTTGGTCACCCTTCAGGTCTGGAACTAATCTCATCTCCGTGGTCAAACTGTCAGCTAAGCAGTAGATAAATATACAGAGTGACAACACTAGTGAGGTATGTACATCACAGAATGGTCAACCGTTTGAGATCAAAAGGGCAGTATTTAACCAAGGACAAAATTCAGAAAGGTTGGGTAAGAAGGAAGAACAGAAATAAGTCATACAGGGAGGGAGTGGGCCAAGTGATATTACATTGGGGGACTGCAATCACTGAAGTATATGATGTACAACTGATGATCATCTGTAAACATTCTGTTGATTGATAATAAAGTTAAAAATACAAAGAATAAGCAAAACGTCTTAAAAACAAGTTTATATGGTAAATTGAAGTGGAGTTAAGATCATGTGTTCACTTATAGGTTAATCCACATAATGAATAATTAGTAAGTGTTAGGCACTTTGTCAAATGCAAGGAGTCCTGGTATGACACTGTAGGGTAAGCAATGGACTGCTAACTTCAACGTCAGTAGTTCAAATCCACCAGTCGTTTCATGGATACCCTATACAGAGTGGCTAAGAGAGCTGACTCACAGCACTTTAACATATCAGATAAAAGATACAGTCCTTGTCCTCAGAGTTTATATGATGGTCTAACAGAGAAATCTATTGACTACATCTCTGGAAAGATA